CCATATATGGTCTAGAGTGTAAATTTGCACTAATACAATGAAAAAAGTAACAGTTTTTAAAATGTGAATATATGCGCTAGACTATATATGGTTTAGAGTGTAAATTTGCACCAAATCATATATTTTCAAATTTGCACTAAAAAGTAACAGTTTTTAATTTTAATTACATAAAGTCCAAATTGAATTTAAAATAATAGTGTGGTTTAATTTGTAAAATTGTGAAATATGTGGGTAGTATTGAAAAGTTATAAAAGTTGGTGTAAAAGATAATATTCTGGGAATATTCTTTTGGGTTTGAGAATGAGTTTTTCGGTTGGAGATGAATTACTGCAAAATGGGATAGTTACTGCAAAATGGGTTTGAGTTTGGGTTTTTCGGTTGGAGATGGCCTTACATCCAATCAAATTTACGCAATTTAAAAAAAAAATATTCCAAACTCTTTTAATTGTAAATTTGACCAGCAAAAAAGTGAAAGAAAAATAATTAATCATTATATGCATATAAATAACCACAATACTTTATTTACATCTGTGCAAATACACATGGTCGAATACTAGTTAATACATAATTACAATAAGTAACCTTATAAGTTGCTCTATAGCTAACGCACCAAGTAGTTTTGGTCCCCGAAAAAATCTCATTACTTAAATATAACAACTCGTCACTCATTCTATCAAAATTCACATCATATAAGTGAAATAAAATAAAATTAAAAGACAATGAATGTGAATTCCATACACGCTTGCTTGCATCTGCACATAGTTGCATACAGCAGAATTTGACTTGTCCAATCTCACTATAACTTTCATCCGAGTAAAAATATAGTTAACAAACAGAAAGTGTGATACATTTTTAGGTGTAAAAAAAACATTCTTAGGTCAACAAACTTAGACAAACAAAATTGAAATTGAACAAAAATAAATGAACTGTGCTCTAATTAATCTCACATTCAGGGCTAGGCCCCTCTGGAAACCTCCATGTATCCTTACAATAATCGTAAGTCATACGCTCTTCGTGCAGCATCTTCATCTTTTCTCGGCTTACTCGATCCAGCTCAATTGTCAGAACGGGTTTTGTCCTGAAATCCGCGGGCGTGCAGGAACTGCTTTTTCTTCTGAAAAACCAAATGCAACCATCGGCCACGAAATCTCGAAATAAAACCTTAAATGGGGCTAAGGACCAGTCGGTTGTAACTCTACCGCCCTGTGTTGCCCAATCATCGGCATTGAATATATTTGCATATACTCTCATGGCTTGATTTTTCGGATACGACACGCCCGATTTTTCATCATTCTTGTATTGTCTTATTGGGATGTCATCAACGTAGAAGCTGCGAAGGAAATAAATGGGAAATTAATTAGAAAGATTACATGAATAATCACTTAGGGTGTGATTGGACATAGATCTAACCCAAAAAAAATATCAATCATTTTCAATATGTCAATACACCATTGTAAATAACTATGGATGCCGAGTCATCCGATGGCTCCATAACAAAATCGACTCAATATTATCAATATAATTAAATAATATCAACAATCATTCTCACAAATCACATCAATTTTAATTCACTATTTATTCATTCACATAACTTTAATTAACCATCAGTTCACGTTATCTCTCTCATACTTTTACATTAAATCAACTTTAATTATTTATTTTAAATATTGTTTTGATATAAATTCAAAATCCCACAAACAACTAGCCATACTAAATCCCACAAACAACTAGTCATACTACATTTTTCCTAATTAACTATGGTTAACAAAGAAACCAATCAAACCAAATCGAATTCATATATACTATTAGAAATTACTCAAAAACTATGTATTGCTAAATGCTAGCCGTGTCGAATTATACTAACTCTTGAAAACACTTACATAATGCACTTGGGATTCCAAAGAATCGAGTAGGTGTGGAAATCTTCGGTCGGATCAAACCATAGCGAAAACTGTTGTTCCCTATCACCTTTGCCATGAACGTACACATTCGTGTGAAGAGTGTAGGGATTTCCACTCGAATTCCCCAAAAACTGGAAAACTATTTTGTCGTGCTTATCACCTTCTGATTCTGATGACAACTGAAAAATATATTATTCCTAATTAGTTACACAACAAATAGAGACACATTTTATAATTCATATTATATGGGCATTGCAAGGATATCACAAAGACACATAAGCCTTACGAAGAAAGTTGTAACTGTGCCGGCAGAGTTTCCGGGGATAAGCTTGATTTGCATGTCGATTTTTCCGAACATAAATTCTTTCTTGGACTCGATGCCAGAGCCCGACAGCCTGTCCATCGACAGAATAAGCAGCTCCTCATCCTCGTGTATTTGAGCCCGATCTGCGCCCCACGCAGTCACAAAATGCCGGTTAAATGTACCGTTGCCCACATATAAAGTTGGCCTGTCAAAGATTTCAAAAAGTTTTTTTTCAGATGCAATCACACCATTACATGAATTTTGTACACAATTAAGTAATATTTTCCTATAATATAAGTTGCATATATATCATGTGTTGCAAATGATTAAGCTGCTTTTTGTACACTAAATTTGGTGTCATCTTTAGTCTGCTCCCTTTCCAAATACACTACGTACCCTTTCTTCTCAGATTTGGTCCATTTTCATTTCTTAAGCTGCAGATCTTATGTGGACAGTGTGTGTGTCCTCTTCTTTTCCACACACACACACACACCCTTTAATAATTTTTCCAATTTATCCCCTAATTATTAGGTGAATTACTATGTAACTCCCTCCTAAAAATAACAACCTTTCCTATAATTAACTCACTTTTATTACTCATTCAATTTCTTTCAACAATGACAACATTATAAAACAGACCAACTACAAGCATCTTCAAACTTCACCATTAACCTAGTCAAAATGCAGAACATCATGACAAGAAAATATCAGATTCCTCAAACATTAGTCAGATCGAACCTATAAAATGTCAGATTCATATACACTCTGTCATCTAAGGTATGTCATTGATTTATTTTAGATAAGCTCAAGTTAATTTAGATCTGCAACTGCAAAAATATTTCTTTCAAATAATTAAATCAACATAAATCACAATAATATATTACCTCGCGCTTTCTGGGTTACGTCGAGCAACAGAGAGTTTTTGGAATATAACGATATCTACCTACAATAATTAACAAAAAAAATAAATAAATAAATAAATGAAGAAAGAAAGAATAAGGAGAACTTACTGAACTATGCTACTGTAAAATCGAATGAAGGTAGGTAGGTACCTTGAAGATAAAAATGGCGAAAAAGAGTGTGAAGGCGAGGTAAGGGATTAGCTTGTGAGGACGAAGGTGTTGGGAGCCCCTCGCTGTCGCTGCCGGTGGCATAATAACAGCTGCAAAATTGAAACACAAAAAGATATGAATGTTTTGGGGGAAAAAAATGTATCTCCTTAAAACCTTTTGTCTTAAAACGAAACCTCCACATGCCTAGATGGGTCCGCCCCTCAATTGAATAATTAAATATAAACTTGAAATGTGATGATAAAATGGAGAGGGAGTGGCGTATTCGAATCCAACCGTCACACGTAGGGGAGTCAGTTTTGCGGCTGATCATATGACGGTCTTCGCGGCATCCTCCACGTTGGGCATGCACCGGTGTGTTTCTCCTCCCGCAGGGATGAGTTCGTGGCTTGAGTATGATATTATTGAGGTGTCTCACTTGTGACGAGTTTTAGTCTAGTATTGTAGTTTGGGCCTCGGCCTCTATCTTTGTGCCGAAAAAAAAAAAGGTAAATGTGTATTTATTGTGTAAAAAAGCTATGGGCTATAATGTATACTATATAGTGATGATTGGGGAAGAGTTATCAAACATAAATTTGATTTCCCTAAATATGAATAGTTCTAAATTTTGTATAACATATTGCTTATTTTTGTTATGTTATAGTGTATATATAGTAATTTTTTTTATTGAATAATAAAGAATGCTCACAGATTGGATATGTTTATTGGAAAATGAATAAATGATTTATTTTTCCATAGTAGGTGCTTAGCTCCGTGTCGGTGTTTCAATTTTTATTTTTTATTTTTTTATTTATTTATTTTTTTTTTTTTTTT